AGACTTAATCTTCGATTTTCTAGTTACTGTTAATCTTGCCACCTTAGTGAATATATATACCATAAAAATGGGTAACGACCCCGTCGATACCCATTCAATTTTCACAAAATTGGTGGCAAGGAGTGCTGTTGCACTCGCCGAACCTATGCCAAAGGCCCAATCATCGAACCGATCCGTATCCCAAGCCAAAAGCACAACCGATCGACAGTCCAGCTCCGCGCCTGACAGAACCAGTTTAATGGCACATGAAATTTCACCCAAAAGATCTGTGAATCTCCGGGCCGCCAAGTGGCGGGAATTTTAGTAAGAGAGGGGAGTCCCATCGGCGGAGAGGCGTGGCAAGTTGATTTGCTTAAAAAGAAATTCACTTTCCTTCGACGGTTTTTACTTTTTCAAATTTTCTGTGCGAATGTTTGTCGTTTCGGTTGGTGGCTAGTTTTTCCCTACACGGAAACCAAAGTTTAGAAATATAAATTAATTATTCTTTTTAATTTAATGAAATATAAAAAATAAAATACTATGCAAACAAATAAATAAATAATAATTAAATAATTTTAAGGCCAAACCGAGTTCTAGACATCCTGGAATATTATTTTAAAAACCTTAGGAATTGTTTCTTGTGCAGCACAAGGCTTCTCATGGGCAGAGAAGGCAAAGAAGGTCACGGTGTGTTGTAGATCATAGAGGATTGGATGCGAAACAAGGCCCAGAGACAACAGGAGGTGGTCAAAGTCAAGTCGCTGGCTTAAACTAGGCATGGGACCCATGCTCTCCGAGACCACAATTGAATGCATTGGCAATGAGCGCAAAAATACTTTTAATGAAAGTTGGCACTTTGCTTTTTGGGTTTCCTCGGTTTTGGTTTTCTTTTTGGTTTTCAGATATTCCGACGTTTTGTGTTTTTTTTTTTTTTTTTGTTTTATTTGTTTAGTTTTCCAGCCTTTTGATTTGTGGCAGAGGCAGGCAGCCATGGAAAATGGTGCTTGCAGCAGGAGCAGAGGTGTTGGAGACCAGCTAATTGGATGTGGACAATGGATTGCTTGGATATTGTTAGCGGCGGAGGTGGAGCGCATCCTTAATTGGTACCCAGACAGACACCAAAGCGGATCTATTTGTGGGGTGCAAAGTAAATCAAGTCGCTAGCTAAACAGCGAGCACTTTCACCGTCGATGAGGAGGATGCCTCAGGTGTGACGTGGAGGCATTAAATGATCCTCCTAGAGTCGGTAGTGAAAACCGTATTTGATAAGAATATTTAAACTTACAAAAGAGAATGGAAAATAAAAAATGTATTTAAAGCAATTATTAAAATATAATATAAAGATTTAAAAATTGTGCTAACTTTATATGATTTGAGCAACATTAAGCAAGAGATAATAGTAGGCTCTTTAAAAAATTAATACAATTTTATTATAATGGGAGCTAATCTACAAATAGACCTTGAGCGCTATTTACAAAATCTCGGGTCCAGCAGCTGCTTAGTTCATTCCATTCCTTTATTATTTAGCAGATTGGACTCTTTTCGATTATTTCTATTTCTTCGTTCAACAAGTTTACAAGTATCTTGGCACAAAATAGTCCCGAGTTTTATTAAACATGATTGTTCTATATGTGCTGCTTGTGATGGCTGCCCTTGCCTCTCGAAGCCGTGATTTAGAGGAAATTTGTTCGTGGACTTACATTCTTAAGGACCAGGAAAAATACTCGGAAAAACTGGCTCCGAACATTGATAAGCTAATGCTGGGACACTGCTCAGGGTTGGAAGTGCTTAGGCTAACACCCAATCTCAGTTATCTAGACGTGTACAACTGCGGAAGAGAGTTCAACTTGGACGTTCCTACTCCAATGGCCGTCTCTTCGACATAAGAATTCACAACAGCACTATTTTGGAATTACACGATTACGAGTTTGCCAAAATGATCAATATAGACTTCCTCGGTCTGAGCGGAAACTCCATAAAAATATTGTGCAATGAAACCTTTCACCATCTCTCCCAATTGAGGTTTCTAGAACTGCAGGATAACTTGATTGAGGTGCTTCCAGAACGTGTTTTTTACCCGCTAAAGGCTCTCTCATCTCTCGATTTGAGTAATAATAAAATCTCTATCCTGACTGAAAACCTATTTTCCCGGAACGCATTCTTGTTGCGGATAGATCTCAAAGGAAATCCGCTAACTTCAGTAGCCTTTCCAACCTGGTGGCCCTTCTCGATCTATAGCATCAATTTGAGTAATTGCAGCCAGCTGAGGGACATGCGAGTATCTATTGACGTGGACATCTTAAACCTGGAGAACAGCGGACTGGAGAGATTTCAGATCCAGGGAAGAGTAGGGAAACGTATTTATCATGAACACAGCAAGCTAACTTATGCGGACTTTCACGACACCATATTGGACGAAGCTCAATTTAAGAGCATCCTTTGTGGCTTGCCAGCCCTTAAGAGGCTGGATCTATCAAAAACCTCAATAAACACTTCCTTCTTTAACTTTGATGGGCTCTACGAAAATAACTGCAGTTTGCCCAGCCTTAGGTTCCTCAACCTGTCTGATAATAAATTAGAATATATTCCACGGATGTCACCACCTGTAGGCCTCAATCTCACCACCCTGGACCTGTCCCATAATTTACTGGAGGTTGTATCCCTGGAGTCCTTAGCTGCAGCCCAGTCTCTTCAGAGGCTTTACCTGGAGGGAAACCGTCTGACCAGTTTCGACTATCAATCTGTTTGCGACGGCCTGAAAAACTTGAAACAGTTGGCCCTCTTCGACAACCTTTTTAATGCAACTTTCTATGACGAGATGACAAAATACTATAACAACACAAAGCTGCATTTAGTTCAGAAGGAAAAAAGGATTATAGAAACGGAGGACCGGGCTCCTACCGAAAATGTTAAAAGGTTAATCCTTAATATCCTAAAAATATTTCCCTTTAATTCTATCAATTTTGGTTCATAATATATTTACTGTCTACTTAATTTTAAATAAACGTTTCAAATAAATTCACGGATTTTCATTACACATTGTATTGTTTTACTATTTATTTAGATGGCTCTATCAGAGACTTACACTGCTCGTGTTGACCCCTTTAGCTGTGAGTCCGAGACCGAGGAGTCCTAGAACCCTAGGATCAATATTAACACCGTATCGGATCACAATATGTTGTTTTTTTTAACCATATATAAATAGTTTTTAAAGATTTTAAACTTATTATATTTTCCGTATGAACACGGATAGCTTTCAATTTTACAATTTATTTTATTTTGTAATATTTTACCTTTTAACCAGAAATATCCTATTCCAGACAGTCCCGATGGAGGTGTAGGAACTTTCCATAGCTGACGAGTTTAAATTTATGTTTTGTTGACTAATGAAAGCAATCTCGAAGTAAAAAGCTGAATTTTTCGTCTGAATCTTATAACTTTTTATGTGCTGCTCATCTAAGAATTATTTGCCTTGGAAATTTTACGTCAGACCTACAAAATTTTTGCTTGTAATAATAAGAAATTTAAATTTTAATAAGAAAAATTCCTACCCAGAAGTTTTTATTGTATAATGAAACCAAGTCAGAACTATTTTTATTTATGATTTGAAATCAGAGGTTGTTCTTGGAGTTAAGTGTCCGGTGTGAGAACTTTTCTGGGATTTTTACATTTTAAAGGCTAACTGAGCGAACTGTAGCTTTTTTGATCAGCTTGAAATTCGAAGTAAAAATTGAACAGGAAACATGCACCACAGAGACCAAAGAGTTCAAATACAGAGGCTAAAAAGGCATTAAAAATGCTAATGAGTCATGCCTGGGGTGTGATTTCAATTCAATTTGAACTCGCAGATAAGGCACTTGGAGAGTGATGTGAAAATTTTAATTTGGAATTGCCTGCGCAGACAATTGACTTTATTTTTCGCTTCTGTCTTGCGGCTGTGACCGTTTGGTTTGGATTATATAAAGTGTGCGATGAACTGGGAGTCACAACGGATTAGTGCAAAAATCTGCAATGTGTGGGATTAATTGAACTTGGCACAACAAAAAGCATTTTCTGTTGATGTAACAAGCAAGGGGGGAATATGTTTCCAAATACAATAAAATATAAATAAATATAATACAAAATATCTTACAATACTTTCAGATTTAAGGTGACTTTAATTAGAGCTTAAACATTTTTATTATTATTAATTGAGCCAATAAAAGGTAATTAAAATATTGTATTAAAAAACTTTAATTTAAAAATCTTCCACTTGATTACGTAATGTAAGGATAGGCACTCCGGAGTTATTAAACACCAGAGAGAGCAGGGAGTAGTGCGGATTGGGACACGATCGATTTGGGCTCCGTTCCATTTTTTCTATGGAAATATTAAATGATAATAGTCGGTCGTACTGGACTACAGCTTTATTATTTGTTTCTTTAGAGTTCATAGTAGATTTAAATTTAAATACATTTTATTTATATTTATACCCCTGCAAGGGAAAGCAGACATATGCGGCATATAACGTATATACATTTTTGATCAGTACCATCTGCTATGCACCATATGTTATGAAAGGTATAGTACTGAACGGATTATATTATGACCTTGTTGTAACCATAATTCAAACATTTTTTAAGATTTTCAACTCACTATATTTTCCCTGAAGAACCAAAGTAAAAATTTATACTAATATGCCCGTCAGCATTGGTTCCATTCAATCTTACATTGATTTTTGAAGTTTAAAACAGTTTCAGAGGGTTATTGTTATACCTGCAAGGGTATATAAAGTGCGGCTTGTGGAGAGAAGTTCTCCTTCTTTTTTTAAATTTATTTTATTTTATATTCATATATAATTTTATAGTTATTTTCGGCAGAAAAATCTTGAATTTAGCTGTTGATAAGGTTAGACTCTAGTTTTCGTTAGCTCATATATGTAGCTTGGATCGAATTAATCTGCTTAGTTCCATTTTTTCGTTCGGAAAGAGAAGTTTGTACCAATCGGAAAATAAATTCATTTCGGGTCTTACGTATTAAACATGATTACTCTATACCTGCTACTTACACTCGCTGCATCTGTTTTTGGAAACGGAAATTATGATGCATTTTGTACGTCAAGAGGATGTTGGCTACAGAATGATTCGGAAGTCAAGACACTTTCCATAAGTCAGAGCTCAGACCTAGATGTGCTAAAGTTCATACCCAAACTCGAACACTTGGATGTGTCCAGTTGTAACAGTGACTTCAAAATGGACGTTTTGCCTCCGATGGCCGAACTTAAAAGGATCTGGATTAATAAGTGCCACATTGCGGAATTAAAAAAGAAACAGTTTGAAAATTTAATTCAATTGAATGAGCTCGACCTGGCCGGAAACTTTATAGAAAAATTGTCGAATGAATCGTTTCACAAACTCTCTAGCCTGCAGTTTTTATATCTTCAGAACAACTCGATTGTGGTGCTCCCGGAGGGTGTCTTCAATACGCTAGAGAAGCTTACTTGGCTGGACTTGAGAAATAATAAACTCTCCAACCTGAGTAAGGATATCTTTCAGGGGATCACAAACTTGTTTGTTCTTTATCTCGGAGGAAACCCGCTAAAAACCATTAATTTAGACATTCCTCTTGGAAAGGACATCCTTTCATCGGATATAAATTTGAAATATTCTGACCATCTGAGGGACATGCGACTGTTTGCTAGAGTGAGCTACCTAAATTTGGAGAACAGCGGTCTGGAAAAATTAGAAATCCGCGGATCAATTAGTAATATAATACATAAAAACAGCAAAGTAACACATGCGGATTTCCATGGCACTGAATTCGGGAAATCATTTCCAGAAGTCCTTTGTAGCATGCCATCCCTTGAGTGGCTGGACTTGTCGAATTCCGACAAAACTTTCAGTTATTCTGTTTTTGAATTCGATAAGACAAGGGTAACGTGCGATTTCCCTAACCTAAGGTTCCTCAACCTGTCTGCAATTAGAATTAGAAGCATTCCGCGGAGGCTACCTCTTTTTGGTCACAATCTTACCACCCTGGACCTGTCCCATAATTTCCTGAACGACAAATCCCTAGAAGATATATTTGATTTGGATACCTATTATCACGAAGAGGGAAACTTTCCAAATCTCAGCTTCCTCAACATGTCCAATAATGAAGTAAAACATATTCCTCTGAAGTTTCCTCTTTTTGGACCCAATCTTATCACATTGGACCTGTCCCATAATTTACTGGAGGACGTATCCCTGGAATCCTTAGCTGAAGCCCAGTCTCTGCAAAGCCTTTACCTAGAGGGTAACCTGCTAATGAGTTTCGAATATCTACCTGTTTTCTACGGTCTGAAAAACTTAAAACAGTTGGCCCTCTTCGACAACCTTTTTAATGCCACTTTCTACGACGCGATGACCAACTACTATGACCACACGGAGCTGCATTTAATTCAGAAGAAAAAAAGGATTATAGAAAAGGAGGACCAGGAGAAGCACGAGAACTCAAATGAGAAAGCAAATCAGACACTTCCAAGGAGGCAGGATGATTTTAATCATGTAACTCCGACAACTTTTGGTATATTGTCAGAAACGGAGGACCAGGAGAAGCACGAGAACTCAAATGAAAAGGCAAATCAGACACTTCCAAGGAGGCAGGATGATATCAGTCATGTAACTCCGACAGCTATTTGTATACCGTCAGAAACCGAGAACCATCAACCAAGCGAAAACGTACATCAGACACCTTCAAAGGAAGTGAACCAGAATTTAAAGGGTGCCAAGGACCTAACCATACCAGTCTCTATGCTGACCGTGTTTATTATTATGTGTGTGCTTATGATAGTCGTCCTCAATATCAATAAGTGTTAAGTGGCTTTTGTTCTTTACATTTAAATTTATCTTTAGAGATTTTTTTATTCAATAGAATCAATGGAAGAACTACCACTATATCCTAATCATATTTATAATAAATTCATGCATTTTAAATTACATTTTGTACGTTGTATTATTCTTTTCGAAGCGCCCTGCCCGGGGATTTGTATTATTTTTGGAAATATTTTGCCTACTTTTTATCAACCAATCATAAATGTGTGCTATTCCAATGAGTCTGAATAAGAGCATTATTTATTACTTGGAGAATCAGCATTTAATAGTTAAATTAAACATTATTGAAAGCGGTTAAACCCATAGAAGACCAGCTTACATTTTTATTCCAATGCGAGCAATCTCGAAAATGTAATTATTTCTTTCAAAAATTTTATAATTTAAAAATGTTCAGTTGATTACGTAATGTATGGATAGTACCCAAGGAGTAATTAAAACTCACAAAGCAGAGATTATGATTGAGACTCAATCATTTTACGGTCTGTTCTTTTTATGGAAATATTAAATAATAACTATTTAAAATAATAAAAAGAACAAGACTACATATTCAACTGTTTTTTCTGGCTTTTGCTTTTTTAACTTAAGCTTTTCATAACTTAGGATATAATTCTAAGAAAATTAATTAATGTTGCTTGTAAATGTACCTTAAATTATTTATTACCAGGTATCTTACAGTCAGTCTCACTCGACTATAGCTTTGTTATTTGTTTCCTTTGAGTTCATAATATATTTAAATACATTTTATTTATATTTATACCTTTGCAAGGGAAGCAGACATAAGCGATCCTATAACGTATATAAATTCTTGATCAGTATTAATACCGTATCGGAGCATATGATGTTATAAAAGGTATTTGTACTAATGTTTTTCAACCATAAATCAATCATTTTTTAAGATTTCTAACTCACGATATTTTCCTTAAAGAACCAAAGTAAAAATGTATACTGGAAATATGAATTGAGTGGTAACAAATTTTAATGGGGTAATTGAAGTGGATTCCGCTCTGATATAGATAACAGCCCCTTCCATTTTCCCATAACCCCCAGCTACACCAACTGTAACGCTTGTGTGTATCCAAGATTATTCATATTTCTCTTTTTACGCTACTACCTTACATATACAAATACAGATAGGACAAGACGGAAAATATATAGGAATATGAAGGAATACGAGCTCACGCCGTGCGGTACCGCCGCCTGGCATTGCTTCGCGGGCGCGAATGCTCGTAGTCCGGCCGCTGCTTCCGCCTTCGTTCCAGGGTGCCGCTTTCCACACTTTCTGCTCTTCGAACATCCTCGGTACCAAAGATTCGGCGCTGATCGTAGATCCAGCTACTTCCTCTAGCTCCTGCCTCTCAAGGCCAAACCTCCGGCACTCAAAGAGGACGTGTTGCGCGTATTCCACAATGCCAGATCCGCACTCCGGGTACCAATCCTCCGTCTCGTGGCCGAAGGGCTTTAGATACTGGCGAAAGCATCTGTGGCCGCTTAGCACCTTGTTCAGGTAGAAGTTAACCTGCCCATGCGACCTCTCTACCCATCGCCTTATGTCTGGGATGAGTCTGTGCGTCTATCGGCCTTTCGAAGAGGAGTCCCATTGAGACTGTCAGTTCTCCATGCTCCTCCTTGTGGCGGCAGCCTTTAGATCGGCTCTAGACGGCAGTGCCCTCCTGTCCTGCATGACTACGAAGATCTCCTTCTCCTTCCTCTCCCGGATAAGCTCCGCCAGTGGGACATGCCCTGCGATGACCAATGCCGCGTCTTCCGAGATAGTCCGGAACGAGCACGCGATCCTCGTGACGCACAGTCTGTAGGTCGCCTCCACTCCCCGCATGTAGCTTTTGACCGATGCAGCTTCGGCCCAAACTGGTGCCGCATACAGGATCTGCGCGGTTACCACTGATGAAAGGAGTTTCCTCGTATACTGCTTTGGTCCTCTCGTGTTCGGCAGCATCCTGGAGAACAATCCTGAGTGTGTGTGTGTGAGTGTATTCAACACATAATTTAATTTAATAGTAGATATGTTTCTTTTTATATATAATATAAATTTAGTTTTATATTAAATAAAAATGTATTCCGAACATAACATTTTTAAGACAGCTTAGTAGCCAGCGATAATCCTTACATATTTAAGTTTAGTCAAAAAGAAAAAATGTATATTATATATAAAAAGAAACATATCTACTACTATTTTATAGGTTGCCTTGACTTATTTAAAATTTGACAGCAAATAGGAGTAGATAATAAAACCAAAAAAGCTGTTTTATTCGTTTAATAAATCCAATAAAATGTCCTCATGAAAACGCTTTAAACCGAAATTAAAGAATACAATGAACAATAGATTCAATGAATATTTAAAATTAGTTCCATATAAGATTTAATTCTCAGAATTGATTTTTCATCACAGAAATGCTGAAAATTTTGGGAGTTTCAACTTTGGCGTCGAATTCCAAAGACATGGGCAATGGTTCACGATTGGGACTATTTTTTAGTAGTGTCGTGATGTATTGAGAGTAGGTCCTACCAAAAATAATAAAGGTAAGTCCAATTATATAGGCCACGTAATTCAAAATGTCGGCAAACATAGGTTTTTTGTATTTTTAGGTATACCGCGGAACCTGTAGGTGATGGAAAATAATTTTGTATGGGACTTTTACTCAGGAGCACCCAAATATCATGGAAAACTTGAAATGGTTCGTGGAAATTTTTGGCTGTGTACCTGTGTTATTATTCCGACTTTAGGCTCATATAAGGTTTTGTTTACAATGGACCTAGATCTTTGGGGAAACAACCACATGAATACTTGAAGTTTCAGAATTCACTCAGAGAAATTTCGTTTTTCTAATCGAGCCAGATCAGTGGGTTTTTGTTTTGTCGTCGGAAAAGAATGGGGGAAATTGTATGATTTTCTGAAATAAATTCACAAAAAAAAAAAAAAAAATTAGATATCCAATATTAAATTAAATCGAATCTTTATTATAGTGAGGCTAAATCTTTTTTAAAGAAACTATGGTTTTTTTTTCACTGTAACAAAAATGGGACTATAGGGACAAAATGAATTCCAGCAAATCAGTTTAGTGTTATAAGAATTCAATGGTAACAAATTTTAATGGGGTAATTGAAGTGGATTCGGCTCTGCGTTGATTCTTAAATTTAATGGGTTCGACTTCAGCTGCTGATAAGGTTTCACTTTAGTTTTTGTTGGCTCATTTTGTTTCGATCAATTCAATATGCTCAGTTCCATTTTTTCATTCGGAAAGAGAAGACCGTACCGATTCGGAAAATAAATTAATTTCGGGTTTTGAACATGAGTACTCTAAACGTGCTGCTTACACTGGTTGCATCTGTTTTTAGAAACGGAAAATCTTATGAATTTGGTTCGCCATGCAGATCTTGGAAAGATTCGACAGACTTGAACCTTTTCGTGGTTCACTGCTCAAACCTAGATATGCTAAAGCTCCAAAGACCCACATTCGAATACTTGGATGTGTCCAATTGTACAAGTGACTTCAAAATGGACGTTTTGCCTCCGATGGCCGATCTTAGGGAGATCCATATTAATAACTGCCACATCGTTGAATTACAAAAGAAACAGTTTGTAAATTTAATTCAATTAAATAAGCTCGACCTGTCCGGAAACTTTATAGAAAAATTGTCGAATGAATCGTTTTACAAACTCTCCAGCCTGGCGTTTTTATATCTTCAGAACAACTCGATAGAGGTGCTCCCGGAGGGTGTCTTCAACACGCTAGAATATCTTCATACCCTGGACTTGAGTTTTAATAAACTCTCTAACCTGAGTAAAGATATCTTTCTGGGGATCAGAGACTTGACGAATCTCTATCTCAAAGGAAACCCGCTGAGAACCATTCATTTAGAAAATCCTATTGGAAACGGCTTTCTTATATTGAAACTTGATTTGAGATATTGTGAGCAGCTGAGGGACATGCGAGTGTATGGTGAAGTGAACCACTTAAATTTAGAGAACAGTGGGCTGCAAAAATTAGAAATCCGCGGAACTATTTTTAGCATAAAACATAAAAACAGCAAGGTAACTCATGCGGACCTTCACGGCTCCAAACTCCTGCAATCATTTTCAGAAGTACTTTGTAGAATGCCGTCCCTTGAGTGGCTGGATCTGTCAAATTCCACCGAATTTGTTAGTTTTTCTCCTTCTGAATTGTATAAATATGTAAATGAGCATATTCCTATGTGCGATTTTCCTAATCTCAGGTTTCTCAACCTGTCTAGAACTGAAATTTCAAACATTTCGCAGAGGCTACCTCTTTTTGGACCTAATCTTATCACCTTGGACCTATCTCATAACTTACTAGAGCACGTTTCCCTAAATTCCTTTGCTGAAGCCCAAAACTCTCTGCAAAGCCTTTACCTAGAGGGAAATCGACTGATCAGTTTCGACTATAAATCTGTGTGCGACGGTCTGAAAAACTTAAAACGGTTGACCCTCTTCGACAACCTTTTTAATGCCACTTTCTACGACGAGATGACCAACTACTATCACAAAAAGAAGCTGCATTTAATTCAGAAGGAACACATTATAATAAAAACGGAGGACCAGGAGAAGCACAAGAACTCAAATGAAAAATCAAATCAGACACTTCCAAGGACGCAGGATGATATCAACCATGTAACTCCGACAGCTAGTGGGATTCTGTCAGGAACGGAGGACCATCAACCAAGCATAAAGGTGTTTATTATTATGTGTGTGCTTATGATCATCATCAATATCAATAATTGTTAATTTTAATTCTTGGCGTTTGTTCTTTGCATTAAAATGTATCTTTAGAGGTTTTTTTGATATTATGAAATCAAATCTATATAATATTCTATACACCTGACTTTATTATGTAAAAAAACTACAATATTTCCTAGTAACATTTATAATACATAAATTCATGCATTTTTCTTTACATTTTGTACTTTGTGTTGTATTTATCATTATTTTTGGGAATTTGTTACCTTCTCTTGTGTGCTATTGAGTCTGGGTAAGAGAAATAAGAGCCCTCAAATTGTAGCTTATTTGGAGGATCAAGCACTTAATGGTTAAATAAAACACTATTGAAAGCGCTTAAACCCACAGACCAGCTTACATTTATTTTTATTTTTTCACCAATGTGAACAATCTCAAGAAGCTAATTGTTTCCTCCGGATTTAAAAAAACGGCAAATCAGAGTTAATGGAGGGTTTGATTCTTCTGATAGAAATGCTGGCGGACAACGTACATATATCTATACCATAGACATATAGAATAAGTTCATCTGATCTGATATCAATACTTTTCGAAAGTTACCTTCCTGTCCCTCATTTTATGTAGAAATTCAGTTTATAGTGAATATTTAAATTGTAACGGCTAAGTACTACTGAAAGTCTGGCAACCACTGGTGTCTCGAGACACCAAAGTGTGGCAACACTGGTAGTTCAAGACTTGAAAGTCTGGCAGCACCGATTAAAAAGGTAAACAAACCAAATATTTCACCATTTTACCGGGTTTGCCGGCTTTGTAGCTTAAAATTAAACACATAACAATGCACAACACTTCCAAAAGCAACAAAGAGTCGCAACAGAGGCTGGAGTAAGTAATGAGCTACCAAGAAATACATTTAAACTGCCTTAAAATCTCACACAGGCAGGCTGCCAACGAGGCGCGCATCACGCAGATCGAGGAGTTCATCAACGAAGTCCTGAAGGAGGACCTGCGGCAGCTGGAACACTGCATTGGTCAATACAACGAGGAGATAATGGAGTACGTGCAGCTGAAGAACACACTCCAAACCTTCGACACACACTTGCCCGAGGGCTACAAGACGCAGGTGAACATCGGCAGCAACGTCTTCATGCAGGCCAGGGTACGCCAGATGGACCGCATCCTGGTGAACGTGGGCAAGGATGTTTACCTGGAGATGACCCTGCCGGAGGCGGAGCAGTTCAGCGACGTTCGCGTCAAGATACTGACCAAGCAATCCGAAGTTCTGCGCGAGGAGAGCGTCAAGAAGCGGGCCCAAATCAAAATGGCTTTAATAGCCATCAGCGAAAGGGCCAAGCTCATCCAGCAGGAGGATGGGAAGTAGACAAGGAGCAGGAGTAGACTAGCAGGAGAGAAAGATGAGGAATGAGGGTACCTTACATTAACTGAAGTTCAGGAAAAAGCAGATGCGCCTCTGTTTTAAATTAAAATATTATTTTATAATATCTATATATGCAAATGTTTATTTTTCTTGTTTTCTACTAAAATTTACAAGGAATTTACAATATGCACGACTCGATTATGTAGTCGGCCTTATGGCGTGGGTGTAAATCAAGTGAAAATTGTTGTAGGGAAGGCCTAGGACACATCATCCGAGGATCTGGCGGGCCTTGGCTGGTTCTTGTTGTGCTGGTACTGGGGCACCACAGTCGCTTGGACATCGTTAAGTGTTCGGTACTGATTGGAGATGCGCTGGGAGGTGCTGGCCATGCTCTGCAGGCGCCTGGCCATCTGGGGGATTCACAAAGGACAAGTTTAAATCATTGTTCACAAAATCTAGACCTATTCCAACCAATGTTAATCCAATTTGTTGTAATTTTGAAGAGACATCTTGTAGAATGGAAGCGAGGAATTTAAAATTTAAGGTTTGCAGCCCAGTTTGTTAAGAATTTTTAGATTTATAGATTTAAATTTTTAAACTCACTTCATTGCCCGCCTCGGGGTCCATTCGACCCGATGGCGATGGAGGGTAGCCCATCGATGAGGTGGGCGCATAGTTGATCGCCTGCTTCACCCGCTGCAGCTCCTGCTCCAAAACCTGGTAGTCTCTGTAGACGCAACGGTAGTCCTTGACCAGCGATTGATTCTCCTCCACCAGCATGCTAATTTTATTCTCAGCCTCCTTGGCGCGTTGCCTCATCGCGTCGTCGGACCTAACCTGGGCTTCTTTCCACTTTCGGAACGACTCGATGATCTGGCCTTGCTGTTGGTTAACGTCGAACTGTTGCCTGCAGGGATGAAAGAAGATGGCATCTGCTCTTAGATGGATGCACTCCATCCCGCCAGGACTACCTACTTTAGTCGCATCTGCATCCGCTGGCAATCGGCGGAGAGGACGCTCATCTTTTCCTGAATCGAAACTTTGGTCTTCTCCAGCTGCCGTACGTTTTCCCGATGCTGGGACTCCTCCTGCTGCAGTTGGCACTGCATATCCCTAATGTGGTGTCGCATTTTTTCTAGCTCCATGTGACCCAGTCGTTGTTGGTCAACGAGAGCTCGCTCGCGACCCGCTGAAACGGCCTCCTTCTCCTTGAGGGCAACCACCTCATCCCGCAGGACATTGCGCTGAAATTGAAAATGAAAAAATTGTTAACCCAAGGTTCTGTCTTAGATAAGGACATGCAGGATACCCACCTCCATTTGGAGCTCGCCCTGCAGCTGCTCCAACTGATTTAAACGGGTCTGAAGGCCCTCCACCTGTCGCTCGGCTCCCTTGAGTCCCTGGGACTTCTCCTCAAGACTACTCATTAGGTTTTGATATTTGCTGGCCAGCTCCCTTCGCTCCTGTTCGTTGCTCTTAACTGCACCCTCAAGTTCGCGAATCTGACGGCCTTGATTACCTGGGTAAAGAAATATTAGTAAAGTATCTAGGGCATATCCGTGAAACCACCTACTGTTCTTTAGTTTGAGTTCGTGTATCTGCTCCTTGAGTCGATTATTCTCGCTTACATCGGAGTAGCTCTGGATCATGGACTGCAGATCCGCTATCTGACCATCGCGATCCTTCACTGTGTCCTGTAGTCCTTGGATTTGGCAGGCAAGGCGTTCGTTCTAAGGAGGAAATATGGAAGGAAAATCAGAAAAGAAGAAAAGTGAATCTCATTGGGACAGTCAGGACGTGTGTGTGTTTTGCCAACTTGTATCTCCAGTTCGCAGTTGATTCGCGGTGGCTCCTCAAGGTGGAGCTCTGGCTCTGGACAGGATTGGTTGGTCTGCTGCTGCTGCTGTTGCTGCTGCTGTTCGACCTGCTCGGTTAGCTCCTCGAGATCCCGCTTGAACTCATCAATAATGCTGAGATAATTGTCCCTGGTGGCCTGCAGGATCTCCGACTGGGTCTGGCAGTGGAGCAGCGTGTGCTCCAACTGCTGGCGATGGGGGCAATCAACGATGGCCTTTTCGCTCTGCGAATTCGAATAGGAAAATAGAGGTTGCTGTGGAGCCTGAATCCTCAACAAGACCGAATACCGAGGCTTACCATGACGAGTCGGATATTTGCAACTAATTGTCGTAAATCCGGGGAATCACGAAGTCACGAAATAACAGAATCACCTGTCAGTCAGCCTGTCAATTGTCCGTCGAGTGCATATATCTTGTATCTAAAGCCTTGCACATTTATTTTAAATCGCTTGAAAGCAGAGTAGCCTTCGTGTTTGGGTTGCAAATATAGGTATATCTCTCACAGCCCTGACGAATTTTGACTTCATTACCGTTTCATTTCATTTCAATAATATTGCTATTAAAAGTTTGTCACGAAAATAAAACCAAATCGAACTCTACGTAGACGTACGTAGGTGGCAAGACTTTGGGTTTCGGGTTTCAAAGTTCCGTTTCTTTGGCACTTTGGCAACACAAGGAAAACAACTATATGGGGGACGGGGGGGTGGTGGACTGCCCCGGGTTTTATAGATATTATATTATTCTACTACTATTCAACCCCCCCTAGGGCAAGGGCCCAACTGTTTGACACGATTTGAAAATAAAGTTGCCGCGCGGGTGGCAGCGCATAATATCGTCTGTCTGTGCCTCCGATTGGCAATAGTATTTACCCCGCACTCGGGGGGCTGGGGAGAGCGTGGCTTCGCGCACTTAAAACACTTTTAAAGGCATATTATACTAGGGGAGGAGTACGAATTTGATAGCCTCCGTGGGGGGTAGGCGGGAATTGTGAAAATCGATTAAGACAAATACCTACGCCCGGGGGCAATGAATTATTATGATTTCCCGAGACCAGAGGGTTGTCGTCTGGCTGTCATTAAACCCATTAAGAGTGCCTCCTTTTCGCTGCCAGTTTTCCACACCTTTCACCTGGCTCAATTTGCACATTTACAGTTTTGCCCCCATGGCCCCCGCTCGAAACACTCGAAAACAATTTGCACTTTTTGGATAAGTTTTCCCTGGACTGAACGGAAAAGTTTCGGGCTAATTGCACGCCGCCTTGCCTTTCCGTTTTTCACGCGCGAGGCGTCTAGGTCGTGCTCGGAAAATTCCAAATTTCGCGGGCGGCTAATTAGGGCTCGTAAATTCACGTCTACGCTTTATGTGTGCGGGTTCAGCGAGGACATTTAGCAAACGCGCGCGCTTTATTCCCGGTGCCGATTCCTGGCGCTTCCTTGATTTGTTTCACGCGACTAAACAGCAACTGACGACGGATGACAGGATTCTGAAGCGAACTACTCCGGTTCCCAGCGCCGACGACCCCGCCGCGGCTGCAGCTACGGCTTCCAGCCGAGCTGTGTTTGATTTTCCGCCCAGCAGTTGGCCGCTGAGCTGATCGCGTGAGTGGTTCTAGGAACTCAAAAAAGGGAATTTTCTATTTATAAAAACATATTTTAATGAGATTAAGGGCTGAGGGTTTTGATTCCAAGAGTTTTAAGGTTTAAAATATTTAAAAAAAAATGTTGTCTAAGAGTTTTAAGGGTTACAAATATTTAAAAATATTTTTTAAATGTCCCTGTATCGACTTTCAACATCATTTAATTTTTAGAAATAGTTTCTGAGAAACCCAATTTTGGAACCTGTCTTATATATGTAGCTTCGATTGTTTTTTTTTATCAAAAGATTTGCATTTAAAATTAAAGTTTTTATATTATTAATATTATTTATTACCTATATTATTGCTTATATTTTTTAGAATCTAAACACAGAGTACTGTAATCCATTTCATTAATTTCTTAAAATTCCCTTGTTTGTATTAAAAAGTTTAATATTTTAAAATTTATCCCAAGATGCATTTATTCCACCCAGAACTTGATAACCAGAAACTCCTGCTCACGAGGATCACGAGCAGCTCTCGCCACTCAAATCCCCGTCCCAAGTCCCGTGGGCTCTCATCGATATGCATATCACTCGCTCGCCTGCCTCGCGTGTCGATTGTGGGTAAATAAATAACACGGAACCTATTTCCGATTCGCCAGCTCCTGGAGGGCAGGTGAGCCTAGAGGACGGAGGCACTCCACCTATCCCCCGACAATTGCAGTTTCCTTCACAATAAACACATTCGCGACCGATTTGTATTTGTCGAAGGTAGACAGGAGCTCACAGGGACTTACTTTCGGGACCATACGAAATATATGGGTAAATAAATCAGTCGACTCGAATGGCAACAATATTTGTTGTCATTCCCTCCCAGGATATATGTATATAGAAAGCTATATATGGGGCTTCTTCCCCGAAGGCGAATGTCATTTACCACATAAGAGAATATTTTGGGGTGTAAGGGGAAAAGGTATATGTATTTAAAGTCAGGTCAGAGGCGTAGCCAAAACAAAATATGTAAATCAAAAGTTGAAAAGCTAATTTTAATGAATTTAATTAAAAATTAAATTAATGATAGCTTATAACTATACCCCTCTTGACTGAGCTCCTGGCTTTACTCATTGTGTATATATTTTCTACACGCTAGATATCAGTTGATTTTTGTATATAAACAAGACATATATATTGGCAAGGATACTAGTTCCTTTTTGGCGGGAACTATTTCGATGATAAATAACTTTTCAACTTACAATAACGAGGGCAAACTTTAAGCTATACTTAAGTAGAGTTAACTTGGCTTAGCGCTTAGGCTAAATGTGTGGGAGGGTCAACAAGTGACATAGTTACTTGGTGCTCCTGGTCTTTGTAGTTGTTGGCTTAGTTGCTGGTTTTGTTGTTGGCTTAGTCGCGGGCCTAGTTGTTGACTTTGCCTTTGCCATGGCTGCGGGCTTGGCTTTGGCGGACTCATTCCTTGTGTGTTGGCTAGGTGTTTTCGTGTCGCCTTTCTGCATTTGATATGACAGCCAAGGTTATTGGAAAAGCCTAATTGCGGGTGTAATCGAAACCGTCAGATAGAATACTCACACATGTCTTATTCCTCAGCTCTTCGCTGGATCTCTGTCGGTCTAGTATCTCTTTGATGGCCTCGCAGAATGGATTTTCAGTTGAAGTTTCAGAGTACATGGTTTGATAGGAAAATTCGATAGGAAGCTGAAAAGAAGTTAGTGATTAGATTTGATTATTTTTTAGTTAACTTCAGTGACTTTACTCACCAGTTTGCTAATAAAGTCAGCGATCTCCTTTAAAATATGCGAATTCCTCTCATTTAGTCCGTTTTGAAACTCAAACTTTGTCTGCAGTACTGAAATGTTGATTGTTACCATAATTATATAACTAATAGAGATCAGCATTTCTACTCACTTTTGGTCTCGGTATCTAGGCGTAGGTATTTCTCTTGCAGCTCCCGATTGCGTTGAGTGAGGGTATCCATTCGCCCCCTGAGACATTCCACCATCTTGGAGTCTACATCAACAGTTGAAGGCGGGGGATGATTAAAGACCAGACCGGAACGATCCACGTCCGCCTGAAGAAGACTCAGCTGACTGCGAATGTTTTCCAGTTTTTTCACTGTGTCATCGCGCTCAGAACTCTGGGGAAATTATTAAAAAATGTTAATAAACAATAATGGTACGCCTAGCATTTAAAAATTTACAGTATCTAAGCTACTACCTTACCAACTTCTCGTACAAGCAGGCTAGACGTCTCCGCCAGGACTCCATAGTCTGGTGCTCATGAATGTTGTGCATGAGGAGGAACTCGTTAAGCTCGTTGTCCAGTATGCGGAGCATCTCAGTCTCCCTATAATCTTGGATCGCTAGATCCTGGAGCATGCAGTTGGTGATCGAAATGCTGGTGGTTGCGTCCACCTTGCTCTCCCCTGAGGTTTGCTCAGGATTGTCGGTAACTTCCGCGGAGGACTCGGCGTCGGTCGTGGGCATGCTGGCTAGTTTCTGAGTGACTTCCTGTAGCTTTGTTTGAAAAATAGAATAAATATAATATTTAGTCTGGCACGAATATCTACGTAAGTGTTATTCTATTTACAACATTGAAATGTTTGAAATTACGACAGACGCTTGCTGATCGGGTTTCCGATTTGACGCTACGAAAGTCGATTAAGAGATAAGCTCGGTTGGAGTAATCGAAAAAAAATTCCAATTAATCTAATAATAAACTAAGCTGAGGAATAAGTAATGTCTCTAACGTCACTACCTCACCTCATCCGATGGGGTTGTGAGATGAATTTCTTAAAAGAAAACATGAACAAACGTCAGTTAAGTATTATGAAACTTGAGGATCTGGGAGCGTTTTTAAATGTGTTTTTAAAATGGTAGGCATGCCTCTTCATCATTTGCTTTTCGAGGTATATCTTGGTGCTTCTATTTATTTAAAAATTACAATATACTTACAAGCACTATCAAATATCCCTTTAAACTACAAAATCTTCTTTTAAATTCCTTGATATACCAAGTATTAAATCAATTAATAAAAAAATATTTATCAAAAGATAAGCTTTTATCCCCTTTCCTTTGAATTTCTCACCTGCTGGTTAAGCTGGGCTATGCACTGATCCTTGAAAAGCAATTTCTGCCTGGCCGTAAGCACAACCTCATCTAAATTGGCAAGCTGTGTCTTCAGGTGGACTATCTCGTCATGCTTTTCCGCCATCTCGTTGACCAGCGACTTCATGCACTCGGCCATCTACAAAAGAATTAAAAAATCCAATGAAAAATCGTCTTTATATAAAGAAAATATATTAAAGAATTTATTGAACGAGAAAATAAATATAAAATGAAATTAATGGTGTTTGGAAGAAAGCCAGGATTTTTGGGATTCGGGTGACTTGCTTTTTGAATCCCCAGATCCCCTTTTGCCTACCTTCTCGCTCTCGCTCTCCGGCAGGACCTGATCCGGTTTCATGCCCAGCAACTGATTGACAGTCATGGTCTCCAGCGATACCTCCTTGATGCCCTCCCAGCTGCTGCGGTGGTAGCCGGTCTGCACGAATTTGATAAGCGTGCAAAGATCTCTCCGCAGCTTGCGATTCTCATCCAGGGCCTGTTGCTGTTGTCCCTGCATGGAGTTAAAGTAAGAGACTATTTTGCTATAGGCCTCATCCTCCAACTCGGACATATTGCCCAGGATCACGCTGTTCACGTGGAGCAAAAAGTCCACCCACTCCTGGAAGGTCACCAGACGCAGTTGGGTGCTAAACTATGGGGGGAAGGAGAGAATACTTTGTTTAATAATATTTTTTTGCACACATGAGTCCCAGGCTCAAATCTCAAATACGAATATTTTAGGACATACATATATTATTTTTAAGATATGTCTAAGCTCACCATAGTATCACCACAATCTTCATTCAGGCCATCGATCTCGCCCAGCCGCTTGAGGAATATGCTGTTCAGCTCGAAATTCACCTGGCCAGCATCGCCAGCCTCCTGTATTAGTTTTTGGAGCAGGCTGCGATAGTATTCCGTGGGCAGGGCCTCCGTGCTGGAATTGCACTGGGCATTGCTTCCACAGGCCTCCAGCTCTGATCCTTCTTCACGCGCCAGGACTTGCGTGGCACTGCCGACACTTGGGCAGTCCTCCTCCGGCTCCGGGCAGGGCTCACACAAGCAATTGGTGGACGGTGGCGATGGCGGGCTCGAGACCCCTTTGAGACCCATGGACTTGGCGTCCAGGACGAAGCCAGTTCTTTGGGAGCTCATTATGCTGATGTTCAGGTCGTTAATCAAGTCGTTTTTCCTCTATCTTCAGCTTAGACTGTCATTGGGTTGATTTTTCCAAAAGCTTGTGTAATTAGACACATCGGAACGTTCACTTCGAGAGCGGCAATCTCAAGGCACTGCTGATCCGAAAGAGAGAGGGCCTCGGATGCAGTTCTCCTCCCCTTGAGGTGCACGCAAATCACTACGCGAAAAAGTCACAAATAAAAAAAAAAACGCCACCAAAAAGTTGTAAAGTTGTAAGTTTATGGAAAACAGAAACAGAACAACAGCAAAAAATTAACAACAAAAAAAGCAAAAAAATATAATATCTGATTCGAACCTTGGCGGCGACGTCAGCACTGCGTTCATATCTTTTGTTTGTAGGCTTCTGACGTAGCATGTAGTTTTGTTTATATTTTTCTTGTTTTATTTATTTTTTTTTTTTTTGCAAGCTACACACACGCGTGCGTATTAAGTATACGGTTTCAGCTGCTTATTTTTTATATTTCTGCCCGATCCGAATTCCGCGAGTTCAACGAGCAACGACGCTTCGCTTAAAACTGAAACCGAAACTGAATCTCGATCGCCCGCCGCCGAGCCGTGCTCGCTAGCTGGTTTCTACCAAGGTGGCTCCGCTCCCAGAGAAGCGTTCTGCGTTCTGCGATCTGCGCTCTCGTTCGCTCCGCTCCTCCCCGCTTATCAGTGCGTTGGCTGGGACCGAATTGGAGCGCCTTGTGGTGTGTTTGCCCAAGAACTTAGCGGTGCCCAGTCTCGGGTGTGTGGCTCCCAATGCCACACACACTCGCCTGGGATCCGTCGAGTCATCGCTGTTTGCCCAAGTTGCGGCTTCACTGCCAATTTTGTATAATTGGTAACTCGGCGGGGTATTTGCCGTTGGATAAATTTGTTTGGCCAAATTGATAACTCCCCGGCGTATGGGCCCGGTCATGGCAGGAGATAAGCTGAGTATTCTCACCGGTTACACAATCCTATGAATGCCAAGACCGAACGGGTTCTCTCCTTAAAAAGATACACTTGGAAAGTTTAGGTGCTTGAAAATTGAAAGATACTAGTCAGGAAATGTATGTATTTGAGGGATACAGTATAGATTGGATATTAACAATCTACCAGTTCGGTCGAATTGTAATCTTGTGATAAAGTCTATATTTTGTGTATTCTAGATCATCATCAACAGCCGTCTCGATCTAGTCATTTTCGTGTATCCATTGCTAAACAAAGTCTCTCAGTTGTATAGAATGTATCTTTCAGATAGTTTTCTTTTAATTGCAAATAGTCGGGAGGGGCCAAACCATACAACTATATCTATAGCTGATGTAAGAACAATATCAAAATTAATATAAACAAAAATAACAAAATACAACATATTTTCATCTACATCTAAAACTACAACTAGATGACTATATTATATTACTTCAGAAAGTTTAATTTAATTTTTAAAAAATCAGACGACTAAATCATATAGCTTTTGTCATCAAATCTATCGAAATTTAAACGAGACAATAAAATGAAAAAATGGGTTAACTTTTTTAGTTTTTTAACATATTTTAATAGGTTTTTACGGTTTTAAAATAACTTTTTTTTAATTTTATTAAGTTAAGAATTCTATATCATATGTAGCTGCCATTGGAAGGCTTTTACAATTTATATGAGAACATACTCAAATGTTCGATGACTTTAATTTGTAAATAAAATATGTACTTCAGTTAAATTTATTTACATTAATTTATTTAGAATAGATCGAACTGCATAGATTCCTTTTCACTTTTTTGTAAGCCTAACTAATCATGGCAAGTAAAATAATAATTAAAATCTCACCTGTAAATGTTATATTTTTCATTATTCTTAAACTTGTTTCATAAATATCTCTAGCATATAATTTAATATTTACACTATGTACATGCCCATATATTAAATTAATATTAAGGATACTGCAGAATTTAATTTTTATTTTGAAAAATATGTTTATATATTAATTTGTTTTTCTTATATATTTTTAAACACTGGTTGCAATTTTGTTAGTTAGTGTATAGTCAAGTTTTCCACCCGCAACTTTACCAAGATGAGCAGAGTTCCACACCATTTGGTATATTTGTGCGCATGATATATCATGCTTGTGCGTGCTTTAAAAATCAAGCTACGGTCACACTGCGTGAGTCTCATCTCTATTATCAATCGCGTTTTTTTTTGTTTACAGATTTTGCGAAATCGGCTTTTTAGGATATTAAAGTCTAAAACCGATACTACCATGTCGGACAATGAGTACGAGCGCTTCGAGATCACGGACTACGACCTGGACAATGAGTTCAACATCAACAGGCCCCGCGGACGCCAGAGTCGGCACCAGCAGATCTACGGTGAGCAGTGGCTTTAGCACCCTATTTCTTAATATTGATAATATAAATTAATGCATTTTTTGCAGGCATTTGGGCGGATGACAGCGAGGAGGAGAGCGGCGGCGAGGGTGGCAAACGGAGGGGCCGGTCCGCCCGGCAGCCCAAGGACTACACCATGCCGGTGAACTTCGTGGCCGGCGGCATCCAGCAGGCGGGCAAAAAGAAGAAAAAGGCGCTAAAGGCTGAGGACGACAACAGTGGGGCTAAGGAGGACGGCGGTGAGGCGGATCGCGACGACCAGAGTGATGGCTCCTCGGCCAGTGCACGTCCCGCCTTCGGGGAACAGAGTGATCAGGATAGCTCCAACAGCTCTGAGGAGGAGGAGCGGCCAGCGCTGAGCAGGGGTCAGGGGAAACACAGTGGCAGCAGCGGTACCACCTTCTTCCAGCACCGCTCGCACATAGCCAGCGAGCGGAATGTGGGAGCTTGGGAACAGCATACGCGCGGCATCGGTGCCAAGCTGCTCCTCCAAATGGGCTACGAGCCTGGCAAGGGATTGGGCAAGGACCTGCAGGGCATTTCACAGCCGGTGCAGGCTCATGTGCGCAAGGGCAGAGGAGCCATCGGAGCCTATGGCCCCGAAACAGCAGCCAGCATCGGCGGCCAGACAGCCAAGGCCATCAAGGTGGACGAGGATGTGCGCGAGGCCAAGGAGTTCAAGGAGCAGCTGAACAAGTGGCGCAAGGGAGGCGCCGCTGGAGCCGATTCGCAAGAGCGTCAGGGCAAACGCTACTACTACAAGTCAGTGGAGGAGGTGATAGCCAAGGGCAACAAGTCCAGCCACCTGCTCTCGGAGAAGTTAAGCAAGAAGCTGGGAAATGTCCCAGTGATCGACATGACGGGGCCGGAGAAGCGAGTGCTCAGCGGCTATCATGCCTTGGGCCAGGCCAAAATCACGCCGGAGGAGACTTTGTATGACGCTGAGCCGACGGAGAAAGGAGCTGGCACGGCCGCTTCCGTGTTTTCTATGCCCGAGCTGACGCACAACCTGCAGCTCTTGGTGAGCCAGGCCGAGCAGCAGATCATAGCCATCGACAAGCAGGAGCGGGAGTGCTCCAGTCAGCAGGCAGCGCTGGAGAGCGAGCACCGCAAGCTGGAAGAGATCGTGCAGCTGGAGCGCAACCACATTCGCACCTTGGAGGAGGCACTGGATCGAGTGGAGCGCCTGAGCGAGAATCCCGATCTGGAATTGCCGCAGGCGGAGCGCCTTTTTCGGGAGCTGCTCGTGGACTATGCGGCCGAGTTCCAGGAGTTCGGCTTGGCTGACCTGGCGGCCGGCGTGATAGCGCCCCTCCTGAAGCGGGAATTGCTCCACTGGCAGCCGTTGGAGCACCCAACGGAACCGCTGCAGATGGTGAAGACTTGGCGTTCAATGCTGCAGCGCGGGGAGCCGACCGAGCAGCAGCCGCGCAATGTCTTCGATCCGTACTCCTCGCTGATATGGGCCGGGGTGATGCCATCCTTCCGGACCTGCGCCGCTGCCTGGCAGCCCAAGGAGCATCCCCCCATGGCAGCTCTTCTCGATGCATGGGCTCCCTTGCTGCCCACCTGGGTACTGGACTCTGTACTGGAGCAGCTCGTGCTGCCGCGCCTGGTGACCGGTGTCCAGGAGTGGGATCCCCTCACCGACACCGTGCCCATAGACAGTTGGGTGCTGCCCTGGCACGCCATTCTGGGTAGCAAGCTGGAGGAGGCCGTCTATCCGCAGATCCGCAGCAAGCTTGGCGAGGCGTTGCGAGCCTGGTCGCCGCAGGATCGCTCGGCCAGGGCCATGCTCACGCCCTGGCAGCAGGCCTTCCCCGAAGAGGAGATGCAGGAGTTTCTGCAGCGTCACATTGTACCGAAACTGCAGGCAACCCTCGCCGAGTTTGTCATCAATCCGCTGCACCAGGACTTGGAGCTGTGGCATCAGGTTTGGGAGTGGCACGAGCTGATCGAACCCATGTACATGGCTCAGCTGCTGGACAGGTACTTCTTCCCGCGCTGGATGCAGGTGCTCGTCCTGTGGCTGAACCAGTCCCCCGACTATGCCGAGATATCGCGCTGGTACACCGGCTGGAAGAGCATGCTAAGTGAGCAGATCATCCGCGAGCCAAGCGTTAAGGAGCACCTGCGACGAGCCCTGGAAATGATGCACCGCGCCAGCGACGCTCTCCTTCAGCCTACGATGACGGCCACGCCTCCGCCACCAATGCCGCCGGGTCCTGTTCCGGCGGGTCTCCTGCCGCCCGTTATGATGGTGGACTTGCTGCATCAACCCGCCCAGCTAGAGTTCAAGGAACTCGTCTCCCAGCGCTGCGCCGAGCTGGGCATCATCTTTGCCCCCCTTCCCGGTCGACGGGAGATGGGCAAGCAGGTGAGAACAAATGGGTTTATATTTTATTTGCACTTTTATCTAATCTTAACGCCTTCGTTTTATTTGCAGATATATCGCGTTGGCAAGCTCTTTTGTTACATCGATCGCAACGTGTGCATGCTTAGCGATGGAAGCTTCAGCAACTGGCAGCCGATGGGACTTAATCAGCTCCTGGAACGCTCTCAGACGGGTGTACTTTGAGAGACTTAAGAAACTCTGACCACTTCATCCAATTGAAGGACAGTTTTCAAAAACTTATTTATTTTTAAGCAATTATTATGTGATCCATAAATAAGCTAAAAACACTTTAATATGTATTAAATTTCAGAAGCTTACTGCAATCTAGTAAACAGATTCTAGTACGAAGACTATAAGGCTTGATCCTAGGGTTAGCTAGTTATTATTAGCGCAAATGTTCAAAGACCGATCAGTAGGCTACGTTTACTATAGAGCTTTGTGGTGGAAGCAACACAAACTGTATAAACAACTAGATGTATTTGTCTTGTGCAAAAAATAGATCTGATCAAGCTGATCAAGCTAAAATCGAACACCATTAATCAAACAAGAAAGGAGGTTAACTTCAGGAAGCTGAAGTTTGTATACACTTTCACCAGGAAAGTACTATTTTCTAGTAGACTCGTGTGTTGATGTTCATCAAGAATATATGAAATTTATAGATCGAAAATTTAAATATTAATTACGGATCATATAATGGTCAGGGTATTGAATTCTCACTATGAACCCTATTCGGCGCGCTTATGGAACAGCACTCAAATAAGTGCAGAGTCTGGATCTATATAGTATCTCAGTATTATCAGACTTCTCGTTCTGCTTGTATATTAATAATAGTTTGGAAGCGAAGTGGAGAGTTTGGTAGCTAAAGCGAAGCTGTTCACCATGGCGGCAGTAAGCTTCGGCCATAGAAAATATATTCGCCCGTGGCCAATCCTTATATTGCTCAGTGTCGCTCTGCTGCTAGTTTTAAGGAATCTGCAGAACCTCCAGATTAGGCTGGGATTAAGCGTATATGACTACCTGGACTGTTTCGAGCTCCAGAGACAGGACTCCCCTCGAACACGGGATTTGCAGCGCCTGGTAAAGTGTCGGAATCGTCCGCTTCGCTTCCAGAGACTCCAGCACGGCGAGTTCTGGCTGCTTCAGAACTTGGTAATCGGACGAAAGAGCAGTCAGGTCGGCTGCACAGAGTCCATTACCTACACAACGAACGGAGATTATACGTTTTTCGATAACCTGGAGACGGTAGTTGAACGGTGAGTGTTCTTTCATAAATCTACCTTATCGCGCGGCTTTCTCCGCATTTATTTTTAAAACAGATGCCAGTTCAAATAGAATTAGTATTTTTAATTGGCTGGAACCCCAAACAGGTGTTAGTTTATTAACACTTCATCTTCTTACTTCCAGCTGGGGCGGTCCCGTCAGCTTTGCCATTCATGCACCTGGCTACGATCTGAATGCCACCTTGGATGCCATTCAGTATGTCCGGAACTGTCTGCCGGGCAGTGAAGCCATCAGTGATTGGGTAAGCTTCCATGTGTATTTCTCCAACCAGCACATGCCGGAGAATGTGCCTTACGACGAGGATGAGGTACTGGCCCGGCCGTATGTCTGTACTATGGCCGACGGCTTTCTGATTCCGCCTCCGTACACGCTCATCGATCGCAGCGACAGCTACAAGGTGAAGGCGAACCTCACCTATCCAATAAATGTGGGCAGGAATATTGCGAGGCAGGCGGCCAATACCCACTTCATCTTTGCCTGCGACATCGAGTTGTATCCCAGCCTTGGGTTTGTGGATCAATTCCTGGACATGGTGTCTCAGAATCATAGTGTCCTGGCCCTGGATCCCAGCCAGCCGCGACGTGTGTATCCTTTGGCAGTTTTTGAGATTGAGGCGAGAGCTCAAATCCCCAAAAACAAAGCCGAGTTGATGGATCTCTATAGGAAGAAACAGGCACAGATCTTCCACTTGAAGCTCTGTTCCACCTGCCACGAGATTCCCGGCCAGCAAGATTGGCTTAATCGGACTCCCAGCATCAAGGATCATCTGCAGTTATTTAGCATGGGACGTCGGGAGTATAAGTTCAAGTTCTGGGAGCCCTTCTACGTAAGCGACAAAACGGAGCCGCTGTTCGATGAGCGGGTCTCCTGGGAGGGCCAGTCTGACAAGCGGACTCAGGTAAGTGAATATGATACCATTTTCAAATCTTATCTTCTGCTATCCCTGGACTCCTTTTCAGAACTATGACATGTGCTTGTTGGGTTACGAATACTACGCCTTGCATCCCGCTTTTCTAGTGCACAGTCCCGGCATCAAGAAATTAGCCAAGACCTCTTCGAACCGCCTGAAATATGTTGAGGAAATGAACAAGTTCATCAAGTTTAAGATCGAGCCAGAATACCGAGTGCTGTATGGTCGGAACGCAGCCTGCACGACCTGACAATACGTATATGTAGGTGTTTGCCCCAACAACAAGTGATATTACAATCTGTTAAATACTTTTTGCTTGCTATCGGCAATATTTATTTTATTTGTGGCAATGCCAGAGAGTTCACCGATGTCCGGCCTAAGCAGATTTCTGATATTCATATGATGTGATCAGTAAATAAAGTATTTATTTATAAAAATATCTTAGTATCTGTCAATTGATCACCAATCTATCTCTCTGTATTGATTATTTTATTACTGCACCATCTTTGCATATTAAAATATAGAATAAAACGATATCAAATAATTATTAAAACATTATTATTATTACTTTGGATATTAAAAATTTCCAGCTATAAGGTGTTATCATGGAAATGTGATTCTGGAAGCTCAAGGCAAATATCCAGGTAATAAGTATTTACAGACCAGACCTCCTTCCGTCATCTAACTGGGTTATCTACTGATTGGCAATATTAATTGCTGTGATAAGGCCGATTCTCTCGCCTGATAACTGGGCTCGGATAAGCTCGCTCGCTCGGATTGTTGTTTCTTGCAAGTCTCAATACTTCAGTCACATTTCAATGCTCGCCACCGACAGATGGGGAGACTCGCCCTCGGTTTCATGTAGTTTAAGTGCTCTGGTACCTTGTTTTCAAATCGAAAGGGATCTTAACTGATAAAACCTTATAGTGTGAAAATAGTGTACAATAGTGATCGGTTTCTAGTTATCGACGTTAACAAAGTTTTAATTGTTTTCAGATTAGGTAAATCCAACAGTACAACTTATTATCATTCGAACTGGTCAGTGTTTTTGATGATTGTGTTTCAAGTGGAAGAATCACAACGGAATAGGTGGAATTCTTTTTTGTTGTAGTAGTTTCAGTGAATTCTAGGGGAGCTAATATATTATAGATTAGATTTGTGAGAAACTCGTCATACATATTATCTTCCTTATCGGAATAAACATGTTCAGATTGACATAGGACATCAGCAAAAGGTGTATATACAACTAAATTATAAAATTGGTTGTCATTGACTAGCTCTTGAGGCATAAAATTGAATAATATTTTTCAGGAGCCCAGTAAAAAAGATTGCACTATCATTTACAGTTTATTATACCAGATGGCTTAATCCTAAGGTTAGCTGCTTCAGATTATTATTATTATACGTTTGAAGTACGATAAGAAGGGAAGTTCACTGAATACTGAACTGTATAAAAGCCCTGCTGCTGCACTTGTCGTGTGCAAAAAATAGATCTCAACGCAATTTAAGCTAACCAAGCCGATTAGACCCCAAGTTAAACAAAGAAATCTTTAAAAAAAGAAATAAAGAGGTCGCTGAAATTGAACAACATTAATATAGACAAAGAAGGCCAAAGTTTGTATACCTTTTGGAATTTGCAATTGGAACAGAAAGCAAAATTTTGGGATAAGTCAAAGACTTTAACAATTGCGATTCTATCAAATTAACAAAATTTTTTTATATACATTTTCTTTATCTGGCGTCGGTGAACCAGTTTAGCAATGAGTGCAAAATACAAATCATTAAAAATCGTGAGAAAACCCATTGCTGATTTCGATAAGTTAAAGACTTTAACAAGTACGCTTTTTCCCCAATCATAGAAACATATTTATTACGCAGTTTTTCAATGATTAAATATCATGTTAGCTTTTCGGGTAGCTAAAGGATGAAACCAACTTGGTTTCGTTGTCGGAACACACCAAATCAAAGGCCGATGCCTTAGCACTCCCACAACATTATGTGGGGATCTTATCGGACGAGTCTAACAGTAATTACGGATGATATAATGGGTCAGGGTATTGAATTAGCCCCAGTGTAGCGTGGCTTCTCTTTATAAACCCCGTTCGGCACGTAGGTGGGGCGGCACGTACATAAGTGCAGCGCCCTGGGTCTATCAGTGTTTCTCGGTGTTTATTGGGCTTCTCGTTGTGCTTGCAGGTTAATTATTGTTTGGCAGCGGAGTGGAGTGTTTGGTAAGGTCTGGTGTCCAAATCGCAGCTGCTCACCATGACGGCGGTAAGCTTTGGCAACAGGAGATATACCCGTCTCTGGCCGATCCTCATACTCCTCACTGTTGCCCTGCTGCTACTTGGGAGGAACCTGCAGCAGGCTCACCAGCTTACACAGAAAAGCCAGGGAATATCGCAGCGGAATTGGTCGCTGTCGTCTGGAGTTTCCGCAGATGACTACCTTGATTGTGCCGAACCAGTAAGGATACCCCCTCGACAGGACTCCCCTCGAACACGGGACTTGCAGCGGCTGGTAAACTGTCGGAATCGTCCGCTTCGCTTCCAGAGACTCCAGCACGGCGAGTTCTGGCTGCTTCAGAACTTGGTCATCGGACGAAAGAGCCGTCAGGTTGGCTGCACAGAGTCCATTACCTATACAACGAACGGAGATTATACGTTTTTCGATAACCTGGAGACGGTAGTTGAACGGTGAGTGTTCTGTTATAAATCTACCTTATCACGGACAGCGCGGGTTTCTCCGCATTTATTTTTAAAACAGATGCCAGTTCAAATAGAATTCGTTTTTTTTTATTGGCTGAAACCCCAAACAGGTGTTAGTTTATTAAATCTTAATCTTGTTACTTCCAGCTGGGGCGGTCCCGTCAGCTTTGCCATTCATGCACCTGGCTACGATCTGAATGCCACCTTGGATGCCATTCAGTATGCCCGAAACTGTTTACAGGGCAGTGAAGCCATCAGTGATTGGGTAAGCTTCCATGTGTACTTCCCTAACCAGCACATGCCGGAGAATGTGCCTTACGACGAGGATGAGGTACTGGCCCGGCCTTACGTCTGTACTCTGGCCGACGGCTCTCTGATTCCGCCTCCGTACACACTCATCGATCGCAGCGACAGCTACAAGGTGAAGGCGAACCTCACCTATCCGATCAACGTGGGCAGGAATATTGCCAGGCAGGCGGCCAATACCCACTTCATCTTCGCCTGCGACATCGAGTTGTATCCCAGCCTTGGGTTTGTGGACCAATTCCTGGACATGGTGACTCAGAATCATAGTGTCTTGGCCCTGGATCCCAGCCAGCCGCGACGTGTTTATCCCCTCGCAGTCTTTGAGATTGAAGCGGGTGCTCAAATCCCCGGTAACAAGTCCGAGTTGCTGGCTCTCTATAGAAAGCAACAGGCACAGATCTTCCACTTGAGGCTTTGTCCCACGTGCCACAAGATCCCCGGCCAGCAAGAGTGGCTTAATCGGGCTCCCAGCGTCAAGGATCGTCTGCAGTTATTTAGCGTGGGGCATCGGGAGAAGCAGTTCAAATTTTGGGAGCCCTTCTACGTAAGCGACAACACGGAACCGCTGTTTGATGAGCGAGTCACCTGGGAGGGGCAGTCAAACAAGCGGATTCAGGTATGTTTTGAAAATGAATAATAGATTTTTCAAAATATTTTTACCTAATCCTCCAATCCAATTACAGAACTATGCCATGTGTTTGTTGGGCTACGAATACCACACCTTGCATCCCGCTTTTCTCGTGCACAGTCCCGGCATCAAGAAACTAACCAAGGCCTCGGCAGCTCGCCTGAAATATGCCAAGGAAATGACCAAGTTCATCAAGGCCAAGATCGAGCCCGAGTACCGAGTGTTGTATGGACAGAACGCAGCCTGCAGGACGTGACAATAGGAATACGATTTTTTTTTTGCTTCTAACAAGTGATATTTGAAGTATTAAAAACTTTTAGGTAGCTCGATGATTGTTAAAAAATTTAATTTATTTACAACAATGCTGGTTTTGTGAACCAATTTATTCTGCACAAATTTCTACGGATTTAAGATGCTTGTAAATAAATTCATTGTGGGGCAATTTGTCTAATCAGAGAGGCTAGTACTTACCTACAAGAGGTTTCGGTATTTCCCTTTTTCAGTCCCTTACTTTAGGATACATTTTAATGCTTCTCAATAATTAATTAAAATAAGAATAATATATAAGCAATTTATTGTGTAATTTTGCAGATAAACTTTAATACAGTTTTTATTGATATTTTAAAATAATTTTATACTTTTAAATGCTTTCCGTTTATGGCGTTGCGTAGCAGGACCTTTGACAGAAGTTCCTCTCGCTGAAAATAATCAGAGGAGTCTTCTTTTTCCTCAATTTCCTTCTGAATAATTTCGTTCTTCCACCATTTTTGTGGTTGCATGTCCCATAATTTTTGCCCAACCTTTGGCATTACATATATTATTATTGGTTGCTGCAAGACAGGAGAAGGGTTGTCTGGCATTCCCTTTAAGGACCTATCCATGAGCACGGGATTTAAAGGATCCGCTCCATACAGTCGTTGGTATCGTTCACTCCACACCAGAAACATAATCTCTATGAAGGCAATCAGCGCCAGGGTGTCGTAGGCAACTAACACTGAAAAATAAGAGCCTTTTTAACCAATGTTTATATCTCAATTTGATATATTTCCAACTTGCGTAGAAGGTTAAGCCGAGGGTTAGCAGAATCAACGTGGCCAAAGGCACAATGTGCCTGGCAATCCGAAGGGAAATGATTACGAGGACCACAACTTGGACAGTGTACAAGAATTCAAAGATGGCCAGAGGTATAACGTGGTACTTTTTGAGCTAAGTGAGGAGTAGTATTTTTCTTAATAATACTTTTCTTAAATTATTTTTATTTAATAAGTTCACCTTGTACGCTCCATAGGCTGCAACAGTGCAAGTCACAATGTGACAAAAGTTGTAGAGTTGGAAGAACATCATGAGCTCCTTGGGATCTAGAAGATTATGTATTAATTAAAAATTATTGTATTTCTAATTATAGTTTTAGTAAAATCGATTATAAATACTAATAATAATTGAAACTATAGAGTAAAACTCCTGAATATTAATACAATTTAAAAATTTATTTGGTCCAGCAGCTGCTTAAGTACATTCATATTAACAATTATCTGTTAGTTTATGTATCCTTCAAATCCTCAATGAAAGAAAAACTGACATTGGTATCTAGCTGGAGCTTGCGATCAAAGAACCACCTCAATGATAACATGTATTCGCCAGTGGGAAAAGGGAGTCGCAATAGTTCAGGTTTGAGATAAAAGCCTCTGACATGTACTGCCCCCTGAAAATTAAATAAAAATTAAGCTGCTTATTTATTTTCAATTGGTTAATAATGACTTACAAAGTAAGGACACGTGTGATTCATATCAGTAAACTCTTTGAAAAGGTTAAAAATTATTTTGGCAGCTCGGTTATAATTCTTTCGCATAAATCGACAGGCATCTACTTGGGTATTGAGGAGCCAGGGCTTGTAACCACTTTCCCTTTTGAATAACATACCCTGGACAAGGACTTTATTCACAGGATAAAGAATATTTCCGTTCATATTTAGGATTATCTTGTCTCGAGATACAGCCTTCAGGCGACACTCTTGAAACTGAAACCAGGATTGGTTGTAGGTCTCGCAAACAAAGTTTGTGAACTTGAACACAACCCCCAACTATATGAGGGGTTTTATTATTTCATTTATATAGGAAAAGGAAAATATAAACTTACAGTAGAATTTGATATAAAGGAGAGTAAGAATAGTGCGCCATAAAATATTTTTAGCCTCATCTTATGGAACTTTAAATCGAACTAACATTTATTATGAGCTCAAAACTTATAACTGGAAACAAACAAGGCAATAATAAAATAATTCAACACTTATTTTTCGCTTGAACGATTCCTAAACTATTTTTAATTATTACCAGATTATCCAAATAGATTGGAAATAGAAATAACAAGTTCTTGTAAAATCGTTAAAAAATCATTAAAAAAATTATTTTGCATTCTACTTTAAAATATATTTGTATGTTTACCTGCAGAACTCTTTAAAGAATCAACTTTATCTAAAAAAAAGTCGTAATATTGATGATAAGCATTAAAACCCTATTTAGTTTAAAATATTAATGATACTATTGAGTATTGTAAACATGTCTTCCATCGCTCTTTATTCCTTGTAATTATTCTTAAAATTTTAATTAGTATTCAGAACTATATTTTCATGGAACTCTTTAGATATTCAAGACGTAATATCAGTTCCAAAAAATGTATTTATAATTAAACTTCACCATCCTCTACATGAGACTATCTCTAACTTACACTGCTCTATCCAGTTGGCAGAGTCATGGACTATAGCACTCGTCTTGTAATGGGACTCGAAAATGCGAATGATGGAAAATAGAAAGGCGGTGCCATTGGTGAAGATCAACCACATGATGATGGTGCTCTTCAGCTACGGAAAATGACACATAATGACACACTTATGTTCGTTTGAATCCTTTGAGAGACTCACGGCGGCCACAAAGCAGATGACCAGAACACCCAGTCGAACCGAGGCGCAAAAGAAGTAGCTCTCCATGAGAACCATGGCGATGCAGGACTAAATGCAAAGCGCGACATCGTGGCTACCTCCATGAGGCCTGGCCAGTGAATGATAGATGATGGCCATTCCGGCCAGCGTTTGGAGCTCTTTTCGGCTCTCTGGGTTCCATTACCATGCCGGCCAGAGATTGGCATCTTGAACATGCTTTTGTCATTTGCTCGGGCGGTAATTGCTGCCCTTTGTTTGTTCCCATTGGACGTTGATTCACCACAGTTGCCTTGTGACTCTCAATGGATCGAGGCAGTTGCGTTCTGATTTATGGACAAAAATTACAAGAAATACAAAATTCAATATGTTATTTATGGAATCCTATATGTGCTATTGCTCGGTGCGACTCGGTGTCATCATCGTGGCAGTTTTGGTCATTGTAGGTGAGACTGAACCCTCTCCATTACCGAATTTAATGAACACTTTCTCCCAGATACGAAGCATGGCCCAGAGTATTGTCCTTTTTACGATGGGCGTGAAATTCTTCGACCCCCTAATCGATTTGTTTGAGCATGATGCGGAGTATAAGGACCGGAAGTGGGTGAGGAAGTACATCAATTGGATGGAGAACTGTGAGTTTTCAAGGTTACTTTTGGGGAACTTGATTTAATATTGACTTATGACTTACTTGCAGCTCCTGAGAGCTTTTCTGCGCTCTTTCAGGTCTTGTCCTGTTCGCATATGGCAGCTGCGGTAATGAGTATCTGGGGTGCTCTGAAGGTATTTTCGTATATTTTTTCTTGCATTTTAAAATAGTATTTTATCCCTCGATTAGTTGCAGAAATGGTTTTTGCTGCCGCTGGCCTTCTTTGAGTTTGTTTACTTTATAAACATCACCATTTTGCACATTGTCCTGATGATTATGCTGAAGAAACAAATCAACCTGGGTTTTCTTATAATTCTGACATTGGTTGGTTGTTTTTATATATGTAAGTAATAGTTTATAATTAATCTTTCTTTACCCTATATATAATTTATTTATATTTTAATTTATTCGTAGTCTTTGTGGGCTACAACGCCTTCACCTGCGTGGCCATGTTCCAGATCATAAGGCTGGTGAAGAGCTCTCGCTATCGTGAGCTCTATGGCGATGATCCTTTTCATCCTTTGGCCATGAAGCCTAGTCTCACCAACGATTCCCAGAAGCCGCTGCCGGTGCTTCACATGCACGACATGCACGACACGGACATCGACGAGCAGAAGCGTTTGAGCAAGCTGGGCTTGTGGCCAAGACGTCATCCGCCGGTGGTCTCCGTGCTGCCCGTGCAAACGCAGTTCCCTCCGCCCCAACTCAAGTGGTGGCAGCAGCAGGCATTGGACACCGGCGAGGACAAGGTGCAGGATCCTTCTGTGTACCGAAACTGGCAGCCGCGAGAGCTGCTCAACGGAGTGGGTGGCGAGGTGCAGCGGAAGAATGATCTAAATCGGCGTTACGCCGAAAGTCAGATGCATCGATGGTACTGATTATGGATGTATAAAAAATATATAAAATATCTACAGAATATGGGTTATACAAAAAAATATCCTAAAGATTAATTTATTGAGATTTTGAAGGTGAAAAATATTGCATAAAAGCAAAATTATTGGTATTATCAAACAAATATGCAAATAATAATATTAATTTTCTTATCTTTTCTTAACCGACTATCCCATAAAAGGTTAAAATTATAAATTCACATTATTTATAATAAACTTAAATATAAACCTAACCTAACCCAAAGCTTTTTCTTTTAAATTCATAAATATTTAAATATAAAAAATAAAGCAAAAATAAACCTTCTCCCGACTGACTCAATCCCCCAATGGTGTGCACGAATATAAAATGCCTTATCAACTTATTCAATAAAACTTCGATTCCTCTTTTCTGCACTTTGGCGAGCTTAGCAATTCAGGGACACCTCCTCGACAATATCCTTAGCTACCCGCCAGGACGAAACTTTCTATCTGCCTTGCTTGCGCTCTTTGGTTTTGGTTTTTTGGTGAGCACTTTGCATAAACGGCACTACAGATTATGCAACTGTCTGGGAGACACTTTGCATATCCTGGACCAGGAAGCGGGATGCTTCGATGGCCGGCTCGACTTACAAATGCTTTTGCCCATTTTACATTCCCAACAAAATGCACAGCGACCGGAAAAGTAACAGAAAGCGGGGGAAACAGTACCAAATAAAAAAGAAAAGAACGATCTCGGTGGACCATTGTTGTGTGTTGGCCAAGTGACAAAAATCAAAGTGTCTAACAATTGGTGACGCTTCTGCAATGGAGCATGAGTCGGGCCAGGAATCCGGCTCTGGCATCCAGCGATACACTCAATTTCCCTCTCTATGCAATCTCCTCTTGTTTCTCTCTCCGGCAGGAAAAATCCCGGCCACATGGACATGGCTTGTCCTCAGGAGATTTCTGCGTTATGTGCTGACAGTTTTGTTGACTGCCGACTATTTTCCAGCTCCAGCTTCGGCTCCTGCTGCTGTTGAAGCTGGTGTTGGCGGCACAACTTTTGCTCTAATTTAATTAAAAGTTTTTTAGAAAAAAAAAGAGGATGAAAACAAGTGGCACAGTTAAGTCAATCAGAGCTGATCTAGGTCTGTAGAGAGTTGCAAAAGGGCGGCATAATAGTGGCTTTCAGTTGTCTATATTTACAGAAAAATATATAAAGGCTTTCAATATTAATACCAAAGTAATTTAAATAGTTCCTCTTTTTAATTTTACAATTTTTATTCTCCTAATCACTCACTTTACTTATAATTTCACGACATTATCACCTTAATCAGGGCCAACATTATACTAACATTTGGGTATCCTTTAGCAAACTCTTCAGGACACACGTAAGCCGCTACGTGTTGCTGATTATCTGCCGTGTGCTTAGCACTGAATTAAGTTGCCAAAAAACGTGGCAGGGCTGCCAAAAGACGAGAACTTGTCGTCGCTTTGTCGCTTTTCCTTCAGGTGCGGACTCCTCACCCCTTTTTGACTTTACGCTGAGCCCAGGCAGTGTCAGAGTCAATAGCAACTCCGCTCCTGGGAGATTCGATGGCAGGTGAAGGCGATTACCTGTGCCGACCCCCAACAAGTGGATGGGGACATAGAGCTGCAGGCGGAGTGTATGTAAGTGCTTCACTGGCAGAGACACGCCTTATAAATGGCTGCTGGGATTTTTAATTCAATGTGCGTGTATGTGCAAAGCTGAAAAGGATTTTGCCCCCGGGTCCCCAGCTCGAAAGTGAATTAAATATCAGCTTGACTTAGTTGCTCCAATCGAGAGTGATTTGCAAATCTTTCATGAGAACGATTTTAGAATTGAGAATTTATAGAAAAACGAAGATATCCTGCAGTGACAACTTGTATTTTGCATTTTACGTTTCTGACTCCGCCCAGTGATTTATTAAGGGATTACTTTTACACACTTTACACATTTATTACCAGCAATAAATAATATAAATTCTGTGCAACTTTCTGCACAAAACACTTTGCAACTCAATGACAGTTCTTAATTACAATTTCCGCTCAGATTGTGGGCAGATGATGCTCGGTGCGATGGAGGAGGTTAGCGTTCTTGTTCAGCGGCTGCAGCTTCACGTAGTCCTGATGCGGATGGTGATGATGCTGTGTGCTCGGAAGCAACGGCAAGGAGGTGTTTGAAGTCTGAAGAGAAAGGGTTTTCAATTAACTACTCGGATTTTCAAGGATAAAACTGATTCAATAAACCTTTGATTTATCACGGGCCGCTGCAATGGCAGCCGCCTGGGCCGGTCCCGTCTGCAACTGCTGGGCCGCCGTGGCCAGCATGAACTGCTGCGAAGCGAGCTGCTGCTGGCGATGATTAGCCGCCTCCAGGCTGGTGATATGCTCCTGCTCCCGCTGCTTGGCTATGTAGTCCTCGAAGTAGGAGTGCTTGATCAGCTTGTCGCAGGACCAACGCTTGGCCGGGTCCTTGTCGAGGCACTTTCGCAGAAAGTCGATGGTCAGCGGGTTCTGCAGTGACTTGGGCGGCATCTTGTCCTCCAGCGGCTCCAGCGTGGGCGGCACCGGCAGCGTGATGCCCTTGAAGTACTCATTCTGTCCGAAGATCTGGATGTGACGCGGCAGCAGGTCGCCCAGTGTCTTGCGGATCAGGTACAGCTGGTCCACGTCGCTGCGTCCCGGCCACAGGGCCTCGCCGCGCACCAGCTCCGCAAAGAGGCAGCCGATGGCCCACACGTCCACGGGCGTGCCATACTGTGTGTCGCCCACCAGCAGCTCTGGCGCCCGATACCACCTGGTGGCCACGTAGTCCGTGTAGTTCTCCCCTGGACTGAGCATCCGGGCAAAGCCGAAATCGCAGAGCTTCACCTGACCCTGTGCGGTTAGCAGGATATTCTCCGGCTTGATGTCGCGGTGCAGGCAGCCCTGCTTGTGGCAGTAGGCCACGCCCAGCAGCGTCTGGTAGCAGATCTGTTTGGTGAGGTGCTCCGGACAGCCCTGTGGATGGCGCTCCAGCTCATGGAGGACGGTCAGCTCGCAGAACTCGAAGACCAGGTGCAGGCGTCGCTTGCGCCGGAATACCTCCAGCAGGGAGACTAGATTCGGATGCTTGAGGTTCTGCCAAACAAAGAGGGGAATTCGCTTTAGAAATAAACTTTCAATTTAATTTTATTATTACCTTGAGTAGCCTTATCTCTCGCAGTGCTATTTTACGGATGGCCGGATCGTCCTCGGACTCCACGAACCTCTTCACCGCAACCAGAGCTCCTGTCTCCCGATCCCGGCACTTGTAGACCACGCCGTAGGAGCCCTCGCCCAGCCTACTGAGCTTCTCGTAGCGATCCATCTTGCTGCTACCTTGTGGTCTGTAAGTAAGGGCACAAAGACGAGTTATTCCCGGAATCCCCACTCGAGTGCGGTTAACATTCAGGCTGGGTTGAGAGTGGATTTTACCTTAAGCTCAAACACTGACCACGTTTGATGTTTGCACGTCGCATTGCTTTGCATTGAGCACATAAAATGTTTAAAAGTTTTTCTGTTTGATAGCTCAGACACGAACACATATGGGATCGAGTACGAGTACGAGGAATGAAGTGATTTTCGTTCTGGTATTTTGCTTTGTGGGCAGTTCGATGATTTTGATGTGTATATATTTACAAGGTTTTTTTTAGGTTAAAAACATTGGGTTTTGTTTCATTTTTGGGTTGTCCAGAACGTTGTCGAGTCTTGGGTTTACGAATTTGTTATGATTTGCGTATTGGGTTAGTTGCTTTCGATGAAATGAAACGAATAACAAATGAGAAATCGTTAAGAATGAGTAAATTTATTTGGGAAATTGAGGTGGTAAAATAAAATTGTGAAGTTGTGTTAAACAGATAAAAGGTTTCCTGAACATTTTTGTACTTAAGTCTTTGAGATCTTGGTAAACTAACTTATCTAAAATGTACAAGAAAATATTAAATAAAATTCTAAAGATCTCACAACCTATAATATCTAAAATTCTTCAAGTTTTAATACCCCTAAACATCCCTTATCCTTTCTAAAACTAATTTTTATCCTTTACCAAATAAAAATCGATATTGTTAATGTGGAACCTTCATTAGATACAGAGCCCAGACCAATTAACCTCCCCCAATCCCCCCGAGAGCACGAAAGCTATATCGATTTTTTTTTTGCCCCAAACTCTCGTCGCTCGAGAACATGTTTTCTTTGGCTGCTCGAGGTTTTTATGAGTGATACGGCCTGGCAGTTCAATGCCAACTCAAAGCCGAGGTAATTGAACTTCACTTGAGCCCTTGCCGAACGAAGGAAGCCTGGCCAATATGTGTGTGTGTGTAGGTCATAAGCATAACATGCAATTAAGTATTCATGTGCAGGTGGATTGATGGCCAACACAGGTGGGGTAAGCAACAAACGGAGGACATCGAAAGTGTGGCAAGCAGACGACTTACCTAGGCACCCATCTGGCTAAGATCTGACGTATTTGCCACTAGAGAGTTTCGTATTAAATTGTGGATGAATCTCTGGTTTATACAAAATAATTCAATGGATTCGGGTTAAATCTACGATACACACCATGCGCCCAGTGCTCTCTTCCACGGCCCTCGCCCGTCGTCGATCAATAATGAATTTCAGCGGCCAGACCGCTAGAACAGACGTTTGTTTTGACTGACAACCAAGCACTGAAACGGGGGAATCTATCGCCGGACGGGCTCTGGCCCGGGTTGGCCAATGTCATAGCAATGCGACCGGAGTTAACAAAGCGAAAAACCACAACAAAACCAAAACCATGCGCAGTTGCCCCCAAAGTTCTTCAAGAAGTTTCTCCCCTGTAACGCCTGATGCATGGGCAATATAAAGATACTTCCCTGGCGCCATCTAGGGAGTATCGGCGCAGTTCCAATCTGGGTGCAGAGCGGAGCTAAGGGGGCGAAACTCACCTCTAACAGGGGCATGTGTCAGCGATCGGCTGCGACCCGAAGGAGGGTGAGAGCTAGGGAGAGGGATCCCGCGCGATTCGAGACGGAGTCCGCTTTCTTTTGGTTTTTGGCAGCAGAGCGAATAAGTTCGTCATCAAAATAAAATTAATAAATAAAAGTTCGAAAAGTCACGCGAGTGGAAGCTGATTTTTTTTTCCTACGCGTTGCCGCTGCCAAAACAAGAAGAATTTAAAATAAAAGCCTTAGGAAGGAAAAGTGGTTTCCAGTTTTTAAGATCCCCAACAAGCTCAGCGCTGAGTCCCCCAGGGTGAGTTGTGGAAAAAAGGAAATAATAAGGAAAAAGTATACTAAAATTGGAAAAAAATCTATACAGGGCCCGGCGCTTAATAAAAGCCCAATTTTTCCCCACCTTTTCGGCGAAGAAAGTGCGCTCATTGGATGGAAAAAGTAGCGGAGCATAAAGCAACCGCCTAAAACTAAGCTACAGATCCCAACAACACCGCCAACGCAGCAGCGCGCGATAAAAGGGAAAGGAGGAGCCCCTCAGCCCCTTGCCCCCGAATCTTCACCGTTGGTTTCTTTTCGTTGGGTCGGAGCATAGCCAGCATAGAAGCAGCATAGGGAAGCATAGAAGCATAGAAATTTGCAGCAACAACACAAACTAGCGGGATGAGCGGCGACTAGCGGCGATTCTTTCTTATTGGTTTTTATCCCGCTCCGCGGTTCTGAAACAGTTACATCGAAGCAACCGCCAGCGCAACTCAGAAAAAATTGTTTCCGCGGAGCGCGCCTTCGGAAATCCGGGGAAGATTTTCAAATGCCGCGATCGGAGTTATCGCAGCCAAATTTTAGTGATTAAATAAATTTAGTGGTAGTTAAATTTTTTTTTACATTTTTTTTGTTAATTACAATAAAAAAAAAAAAAAAAAAAGATGAAGTAGTGAGCTAGGGAAAAAGTGATTAAATGTGGTCGACAATAAATTTTCATGTGTGTTAGGGCGAACCTTTGTCTTCCTGTTTCCCCCCTCAGTTCCAGCTAGCTCGTCGAAAGCGCTTTCGCCGGTGGATCTGCAACAAGGGTGAGTGAGTAAGAGTGGAGGATTCTCCAAGAAGTAAAACGAAAAGCCGTATTAAGCATGTCGCCAAACACATAAGAAAATAAAGAATAAACACAGAGAATTATACAATTAATGAAATATCGCATCGATCGGCAAGGCAATCTGCCAAGGTTTTTTTGTTCAGTTTAGCCCACTGTGCGCTGACTAAAATGAGCCGAAATAATTGTTTTTAAACCAATTTTTTGTCACTTTTATTCCTGTCTTCGCCACAAAAAAAATATATATATTAAATTCCATCAATAATAATTATTACGCAAAGAATTTAATTGTACTTAGGAAATTTGGTAGTCTTTAGCATTATTTATTTATTAGTATTCCGTTGTTTAAATTATGTTCAATGTCTCAATTATATGTTCGTGTTTAATTAGGAAATAAATTACCTTTTATAATGTTTTAAAAAAAATTTAATTTATTCGCCTCCACCAGCATGCCGCCCCAGTAGAGCCAGCTATGGTTTATAGGGGTCATCAAAAGAAAATATAGGTAACTACGGATTAGATGGCCAAGGTAGGGAGGGCTGACAAGGGACCTCGACAACATCGGAGGATCCCAAGCCCTAAGTATGTTATAATGAGGGAGTAGCCAGTCCGCATGTGTGTTGTGATCATTTGATTTCCCTTCCCCCTTTCTCGTCGCGGCACGCAAAAAATTTAGTAAGATACTGATTGCAAAAGGCCATCGCGAGATTCAGGCAAGACCACCACCACCAATAGCCGACGAGCATAGCCGAGTAAATTAGCGTGCGTCTGAATCTTGCCTCAACATCTAGCCTGATCGTTACACCCCCCACTGTTTGTTTTATTTTTCCAGCGTCGACCGGAAGGCATTTGAGGCGTGCTTCTTTGGCATTCTTTGCTCGGTTTCTTACGTTTTCTTTTCTGTTTTTTTTTTGTATTCCTTTCTTTTGAGGTTACCTGGAGGAGTTTGGTGCCTGGAGTGCTCTGCAAACTGGGTACTTTTGCTGTGGAACATCGGAGAAGTTCCCAGAAAACTGGTGCAGCAGTGCAATGAGTGCCCCAAAGGGGGTGGCTTTCCTTTGGGTTTCATATTGCTTATTAATGCTTGAATCACCGGCAATTATATCGTTATTAAGGGTAGTTCAACTCGGTTGTATAATGGTAGAAAGTCCTGGGTAGAGCTAATTTCATTACTCAAAGGCCACTTAAAAGTTAACTCTTACGTGTTTGCATTTCAACTGGCTAACAAGCTGGATTTAAACGTTTGCTTGCATAATTTAAGGAATTATTTTGCTTTTTACTTTCACAATTACACACTTAAATAATTAATGACTTGGTGGAGTAGTTGCTTTTTAATGATTCTTATTAATGACACTCACTTTTATAGTTTAATTAGAGTTTACTTATAACTTTTGTTAGTTTTTGTCAGAATTGGTAGTATGCTTTCTTACCTTCGCAGGGAAAACAACTTGGAAATCTCAAACATTTTCATTGCTAACCCAAATTTTCACTAGCAAACTCTTTGTTTATATTTTTAGCCTGCCTCAGAGGCTTTTTCTTTTCCTTGTAAACTCCAATTGGGCCGGCAGACCTGCGCGAAAGCGAGTTGGCAGAACGACACGATGTGAAGACGCTAAGAGCCGGCAAACGACTGAGCCGTTTTCTTTTTTGGCTAGAACCAGTTTGGGCGGGCCAAAGCGGAGTTGTAGAGTGGCTCGATTGCAGCACGGACATTGCACATACGCCGTGTTGGCCTCTGGCGACTTTGATTCCCGTGTTTTTGTTTGCTCGGGCCTCGCGTGCGGCATTAAATATGCATTAAAATGCAATTGAGTAACACGAAAGCAAGCCTCTAATATGATTTATAAGGAAGTATCACGCATACGCCACGTGGTCGCGGAAGAGTCGTTCCAGAAAGCTTGGTCAAATATCTCTTTCTGGTTGCGGTTTTCTCAGCCTTTTGACCTTTCCGACTGACGGCCACAGAGCCACAGAGCGCCGCTCAAGTGGTTTCTGCAATTCAATTTGCATAATTACAGTGAAGCCCCCTCGACCACGCCCACGCTACCCCCTACTGCTTGCCTATTTATACATTTGACAGCTTTTGTGTTTCGCGAAAACACTTTAACTTCCCCCGCTAGAGTTCTCGTTTATTTCAGGCCCTTGTGGCTTTTAATTATATTTTTTGTGTTGCTGTATTTATTGTTCTTGCTATTTGCCTACCATAGTAATTTATTGTTCTCCTTAGGTTGATGTTTGCTTTTGATTTTGGGGTCAATGCTTCCCAGTTCATTGGCTATTCAAGCATTTAACTTTCCGTAGGCGGAACTATTGTTCAAATACTCTCTGCTATTGACCCTTTGCTATTGTGTGGGCAGCAGCACCACAAGTGCGAAATATATAAAAGTTTCTGGAGAGGTGGCCCAGGTCTGGATTTGAGGGGATAATAATTGGCAAAAACAAGAAGCTTTTCCTTTTTTTTCTTTTATTAATAAGGGATTTAAGTGCTGAACTGAAAAAATCTAATTATTATTTTAATCCTCTCTTTTTGTATATAAATAAGTCCTTTTGTAAGGGAATTTTAATAAATTAAATTATTTTTAATTTAATATTGTAAAGGTTTAAGCTTTAAAAACCACACAAATTTACATTTCAGTTAAAATTTAAAAATACATTTAGATTATGAAGTAAAAAACATTGTGATTTAAGTTACCATATCCTCTGTTTTATGAGACTCTAATAAGACTT